GATGTGACTATTTCACATCTTAACACGTATTTGTCCTGGCTAGCTCAACTTACAGAACACAGCGTTGCTGTTTGAACACAGCAGATTCAATCCCTATCTGGGTCAGTTAGCTTTGCACAGGGGCTAAAATCTGCTCCAAGGTCCCAGATTATGAAATGAATTCCAGCCAACCATTTGACGAATGTCATATGGGTTAAAGGAGGGTGGATCAAAAACATTTCCAGTGTATCCTAATCCACCAATAATGAGTCTACCTAAGACCATTATTATTTCATATGTTCAAAAAGTTTCTTAAGCATTTTTCGCTCTGCCCCCCAACTGTTCACTAATAAAATCTGCCTTAAGTATTTGGTAGTAAATTTGCTATCTAAAGGCATACTACTAAATACCACATACATAAATTACTTCTTAGTTTTTTAGTTGCCACCATTTATCCATTTCATTTTCCATTCCATTTTCACAGCCTGTTAAGATAACTATAGTAGGTCTAAGATTCTCTTCAATGGTTTGGGGGCAGTTGTTCTCTTGATATGAGAACAAAAACAAGACAAAAGCGAAATACGTCTTAGTCTCTTTCCTATTTCACATTGACATAAACAACCCAATCACTAACAGTGATTAGAACTTTATAATAAAGTAAATTTTCCGATCTAGTTAGATTTCTAGGAAAATGAAAACTTTGATGACAAAACAAATGGGAAAAAAATCAATATTTATGTATACTGAGAATATTCATTTTTGGATACATGGGATTAGAACTTTTAAAACTGAACTAATTTATATGGTATTAATATTAAAATACTAAGTATTGTTAATCTCCATGAGATAAATTTCCTTGTCAACAATATTTATAGTAATATACTTTTTTTGCTGAAAATAAATATCTTGTCACCTAAATTTTTTTTTTTATTAAACCCCTTTAATTTTGAGGATGTTGCCTTTTTGTTTGTTCAGCAGTCCAGTAACTCATAAAACAGGAGTTGTCAAGAAGGAAACCCAGTTACAAATATGACTCTGGCTTCCTTATTAATGTTTCCAAACATTTCACAAAGGTTAGGTTATCATAGTGTTTACGACATATCTCAAAGGCAGCACATTTCAAATCACATATTTTACTTTGCCTGATTTTCATCATTTTCAACAACTTTCATAGTAAAGTTATCTATCTTGAAATTCTAAAATGTCATTAACACTATAACAGTACAAAGAATATAAAAAAAACTATTAGAATTTTAATTTTCACCTTTAAAATATTAAGCATTTAAAACCTTCTTTAGTTAAAAAAAATAAAATTGACCATGTGCATTATCATTCATGTATCTGCTATTATATTACCATGTTGTCTGACAGGAATGAATTTCGTTATATTAATATACAAATATGGATAAAAGGGATCCAATCACCCAATGTAAACCTATATTCTGATGACCAAGTTTAAGATGTTTTAAAAAGTTGACAGAAAAAATGAGATTTTCATGCCTATCAATATCCCTCTTCCCCTGATTTTCAGTAAGAGGTCTAATGGATATCTGCATCAGAAAATTTTAATTTATATCAACAAATGGCATTGGTTTTCCTGTGAAAGGTAATTCTGTCATTCAGTCTCATTAAGAAAGATAAAAAACATTACTCTAAGAAAAAGAATCAGATGTATACCTAGAAAAGAAATCAAGTAGATAATGAATAACAGATAATTTACCTTGCAGTTTCTCAGTGAACAAAGGAATACTTATAAAAGTATCAATGTGATCAAAGAATAAATTTAACAACAACAAAAAAACTTAGGTAACAGGAGACAAGATTTCATTTGTGAAAAAGTAAATTAAAAAAATAAAATTAGTATATGTGAAATTAACTAGTTGATAAGTGAAAAGTTAACTCATAGAAAATAAGCTCTTGGATTTGTTTCTGATTGTAATTATATCAACTGGCAAAGTGTCTGGCACATAATAAATACTCAAAATCTTTTGCATCACTGTCACAACATTTGATCATTACGGTAACTTTGTGAGGTAAGTATAGCCATTATCTTCATTTCATGGTTGAGAAAATTAAGACCCATCAGGGGCAAGTGATTTGGCCACGGCTATACAACAATTAAGTAACAGAAGTGGCACTTAAAATTCAAGTTTCCTAAAATTTTGAGTTAGGTTCTTCTGGTTAAACTAGAGTGAGATCCACAGTGAGATCCAGATTCAATGAAAAGTCTGTGGGTTCAAATACACTCATGTCACTCAGATGAGGTTTGAACATGGCTCCACTCAATAAAGTCAAAGTATTCAGGTGTACAGTCTTAAGGAGGTATTTCTCTTTTAGTTGCACTGGTGAGAACTTCACCAATAGGCCTCACTAGTATTAACTTGGTGTATGGTTTATTAAGAAAATTCAATATTGAAAAGCATAAATTTACAAGTATACAAACTAGATACCCGTATAGCACAGTGGAAAGTATGCTTAAGATCTCGGCTCTGGTTCTATCTGTTCCAACAACTGTAGCAAAATGTGTGATGTGAGGCAAATTCTTTACTTTTTCTGTTCTGGGCTTCAAAATTTTCTCATCTGTAAACCGAAGGAGCTACACTAGATAATCTCTGTTGTCCATTCTGACTTAAAATTATATGATTCAAGGATGATTTTTTTTTTCTTTTAAGAATGACTTTTCTCATTAAAATGATTCATTGCTGGGTTTTTAAAAATAAGAATTTCTGGGCTTCCCTGGTGGCGCAGTGGTTGAGAGTCCGCCTGCCGATGAAGGGGACACGGGTTCGTGCCCCGGTCCGGGAAGATCCCACATGTCGCGGAGCGGCTGGGCCCGTGAGCCATGGCCGCTGAGCCTGCGCGTCCAGAGCCTGTGCTCTGCAACGGGAGAGGCCACAACAGTGAGAGGCCCGTGTACCGCAAAAAAAAAAAAAAAAGAATTTCTGGTACATTTAAGTATTGATTTAACTACTTGTTAGGAAAAGAAACTGTTATCACTACCAATTATGATTAATTTAAAGATGAAGGATTTTTGACATTATGCAAATCACTGAGAAAATATGATTTGTATTACTAAAAATCTATTTACACATATATTTCAGGTATTCATCTATAACGAAGAGTGAGACATACTTATAAGGCAGTAGGCACAATATCAAATGTTTCAACTAACTAAAACAGTTTGCTGAGCTAAAGTTATATTAGCATATAATTTGCATGTGACTACAAAGACTGTGAAGTGTATTCACAAGTAATTTTCAAGTTAAAAATTCCATTATTATTACACTGAACGATATCAT